GAGAGTCGCGCAGGGCAGACGCCTCCCCCTCCGGGGCGGCCCCTCCTCGGTGCCCCAGCCCACACTCACACCCACACACACACAGCGCCCCCGCAGCCACTCACTGCACACGCCTTCCGAGCACTCAGTGCACACCCGTGCACCCTCCCCCCGCAAAACTCCTGTACCCAGCCTCCTACACACAGGTGTACACATGCCCCGCACATGCATGCACACATGAACACACACCCTACCACCATATAGGCCTGCACTACACACATCCATAGACTGTACACCCTCCCAAACACACACACACACACACACACACACACACTCTCCCACTGTCCACATAGCCCACAGAAACACACACATCAACACACTACTCCCCTCACATACACATTGTGTATGGGCTCCGTTCTGTGTGCACACACACTTTGGACGCCCTCCCATACATATATGGTCCACACCCCCCACAGAGAGACATTTGCAAGCTTACCCGCTGTGGCCTAAAAGCGCACCCGACACCCCCACAAAACCACCCCGCATATGCCCCACAGAGATACCCACACCCCCACAAAAGCAGACAGATGCCATGCACATACCACCCAGCACACCCACTCCATACAGGCGCACGCTGCACACACGGGCACACACCCTGCCTGGCACAGGGAGCAGCGCCCGCTCTCATCACACCCCACACCAGGGTACCCCCTAAGGCTACGGGTGGAGTCCCCACTATCCCTGGGGGAAGTGTGACTGCTCCTCTTCCCCGGGACCCCCTTCCATTCACTCTGCCCAGAGGGACCACCTCCAAGCTGACAATGGGCTCCGAGCTGGCCCCCACCCCATCCCCAGCATATGAGTCAGACAGGAAGCCCATGTTGATGGCAGACCCTGCCCTCCTCTCCTTCCCGGGTGGGGCTGCCAGAGGCCTTGGCCGGTCTGTATGTAATCGCTACCTCCATTTCTATCCCACTTGACTGTTCACACACAGTGTGCTTCTCACCACAGCCCCTCACTGTGGCCTGGGTCACTGCTGTGACCCCATTTCCAGAGAAGGAAACTGAGGCCCAAGAGCACCCAGGTTGCTATGGAAGCACCGGGCCTCCAAACCCCAAGCCCCTCACTCCAATGTTGGATCTGACTCCCAAATTCTAGGCAGCAGTCAGAGAAGGGAGGTTGGGGGCAGGGGAGGAGGCAGCCCCAGTCCAACCCTGCTCCCCATCTTGGAGCATGGGGAGGAAGACTCTAGTATTGGGCCCCTGTGGCAGCCACCCAAAGGGAGAACCGAGCAGAAGAGTTGGCTCCTCATCCCATCCGAGGATGGACAGCTCTGAAGGAGGTAGGGGAGCGACATGGAGAGGCAGAGAGGAGAGGGGTCCTGGGGGCCGAGGGAGGAGAAGTAGAGGGCCATAGGGGTGAGCAGGAGGGAGGGAGGGAGGAGAAGGGAG